AAATTGCGAGTTCGACGCGGACGAGCTCACGACCCTTGAAAAAATGAAGGTTGTAGTGGAATGATGTCGATCTCATGTATTTCAGATTTAGACAAAAAAAATAAATGATAGGGGAAAAAATACATAAAAACTTTGTCGGATTTTTTTTTTTTAGTGTGTGAAAGTTTGCGAACTTGACGTTGAATGAGCGAGTGACAGGCTAACATAGAAAGATCGAGGCAAGGTGACAATTTCTATTTTTTTCGTATTTTTTTTTTAATCGACATTCAAACAAGCGTAGTCCGAGCGTGAATTTCGGACAGTCTGTTGGTGTAGTACGAGCTTCGACCTTCCTTCACGACCGGTCGGTAGCTTCCTGAATTGTCCATGCGCCTTTTAAGGCAGCAGCTCAGCAGGGAAAAGCTCACGATCAATACGGCGACCGCAAGACCTATCGTCAGCGCCAAACGCAACTCATCTTGGGCGAAAAAGTCCATGGTTGGTTAACTCGGTGTCCTCGAAAACACACTTATACACTATGAAGATTAGCGTTTGATCGAGTGACGACGAAGACCGCTACGATGTTTATTACGACTGCAATATTTCTAATGTTGCTATCGGTTTCGCCGGGCCGGTGCCGGAAGCAGTCGGGAAGTCTCGGAGATTTGAAGTTCGGTTCAAAAGGGAGGGACACGTTCGTGGTCGTGCCGGACGACGCGTCGGCGGAAGATCAGTCGTCTTGCGAGAAGTCGTCGTTGCTGAGCGTCCTGCCTTACGATCTGGGACCCGTCTTCCTGTCGAACGTGACCGTGCTGCCGATGTGCGGAGAGGGAATCATCGCGGTCGCCGACGGACGGGACGGATGCAACGTCTTCTTGATCGACAGCCACGTGCACGTCGAAGGATTCGAGTTCCGCTGCGACGGGTACGTCGGAGCGAGAGGCGATCTCTCTTCGTCTGTGCGCGTGACCGGTGTTGGCAGGGTGTTCAACGTGACTTTAAAACGTTTGGGTTACACGAACGGCTCGAACGAGACTCACGTCGAGGCTCCCCCGAAAATCGTGGTCCGGGCGTCTCCACTTCTTTCCGAAGGCACCATCCGTCTGAACCGGGTGACCGTCGAACGGGTAGTAGGAGGATCCGTGGTGCTGGAAAGAACTTCGGGGTCGATCGCCGTCTCCGATTCAACCCTGCTGGAGACGATCGGAAGCGAAGACACGAAGATCGATCGAAAATTCACTCCGATGTTGAATTGGGACCTGTGGGGTGTCGTGAGAAAGGCGAAGTCCGCGGACGTAGAGAACCGTTCGTGTACGCCGGAGATGATCGGATGCAGCGTGGCCATCGTCGTGACAGTTCTCGTGTTAGCCGCCGTTTGCGCGGGAGCCAGGATGCACTCCGCAAACCGTACGGCGGCCGAGAAGGCGTTCATCGACAAAAAGGACGAAAGCATGTCGGCCGCGTTCGAAGAAGACGATCACGAAGAGACGACGTGCACTTTCTGCAAGTCACACTTCCCGCCTGTCTCTTATACACATCTAGATGTGTATAAGAGACCGGATCCAACCTGTGCAGCTGGTACACCATCTCCCGGTGAACGGACTTCAAGGCTCGCCGGAAGACCGACAGTCCGTACGAGATGAGCGGCCAGCAGTTGAGCAGGACGACGATCGCCAGGAGAGGTACTTTCTGACGAAGTCGAACACGAGGTCGAGGTGGAAACCGAAGCAGACGTCGTCCTCGTACGTCGGTGAGCAGTCGTCGTGAATCGGTTGGCAGACCAGGTACTAGATCGGATAGTAAACGACGTACCGCGTGAACGTGATCGAGCGATACCATCGGAGACGGTCGCAGA